TCTCTCTCTCTCTCTCTCTCTCTCTCTCTCTCTCTCTCTCTCTCTCTCTCTCTCTCTCTCTCTCTCTCTCTCTCTCTCTCTCTCCTCTCTCTCCTCTCTCCTCTCTCCTCTCTCCTCTCTCCTCTCTCCTCTCTCCTCTCTCCTCTCTCCTCTCTCCTCTCTCCTCTCTCCTCTCTCCTCTCTCCTCTCTCCTCTCTCCTCTCTCCTCTCTCCTCTCTCCTCTCTCCTCTCTCCTCTCTCCTCTCTCCTCTCTCCTCTCTCCTCTCTCCTCTCTCCTCTCTCCCTCTCTCCCTCTCTCCCTCTCTCTCTCTCGAGCAGTAATAACCGGAATATTCCAAAAATATAGTCGAGTAATTAATAAAAAGAAACTAGAACATTGCAATTACGCAACTTCTTTACAATCGGAAGCGTACGGGGGAGGATGAGTTATTAAAAATAGCAATTTATCATATAATTATATAGCGATGAAAGAATCGTTCCTATAATAAAATTACGAATTTTCCGATAAAAAAATGGCGTTTAAAAGTCTGCAAACATCGCTGTCGACAACGGTATTAGTTATTTTAAAAGTTGATCATTTTTTGAAAACTACATAGTCTCGCGGGAGAGGAGAGCGTTTCGATGTCGAAGCGATCCGTTTTAATATTTACTCTTCAAACATTCGCGCACGTAAATTTTCGGCACTGTCCCAAACAGTAAATGGAACATCTGTGCGTATTGTGTAAATTTTTCTCTGGCAGTCCTTGTGGGTTCGACTTGTGGGATTTTCTAAAAATTCATGAGGTTGATCAAAACCGAATAGCTCCTGTTAGTTTCAATACAATAGCTGATACGCTCTCGGTGATCCTTCGTGTACGTCAACGCGGCGTCATAAATCAAATTTGCGACGGCACATTAAGGTGCGAAAATACAGTATCTACTAGGCGGTAAAATAGATCCCAGAAAAGAATCGGGCGGGAAGCGATTAATCGTCGGGCTCGTTTGTAATCGCTAAGAAATCGATTAGACGTGCTGTATCCTTTTACCCTTCGCCGCTCGGCTCTTTAATGTTCCGCTTATCGCGAACAAATTCAATCTACCGTGAGAAGCGATATATTGACTCACTTTGAGACATTGAGAGATGCTACCCTCGTACAAATATTTTTGCGGAGATGCGTGAAATTATACGAAATATAGCGCCGACGTTCCACATCTCGATACGATTGTGATCTCTTAAAATCGATTTATTAAACGGTGCGCGCAGATGTCACATCCTGCATTGTAATCATTTCTTTTTTAGTATTCAATATGTTCTTAATGAAAGGTCAATTTCAATCTTGAATTAAATTAGCGGAAAATTTTACAGCTTTCCTATTTTCTGAATTTAAAAAATTGTATGTCTTTATTATTTTATTCTGATGTTCCTTATGTGAAGTCTTTTTCCGAGAGATTCTCAAATATAGTAAGTAAATTCGATTTTAGAATAGCTTACTCCTGCCACCATCCTCTCGGAAGATTCATTAAGACGGGCAAAGACAAACTAGATAAGTTAGCTCATAGTGATGTGGTGTATCGGATCCCTTGTAAGGATTGTGATGCCACATATGTTGGTCAGACAAAGAGATAGTTAGGAACCAGAGTGAAAAAACACTATAACGACATTAAAAGGAACCCCGCATCTCCCTCTGTCATCTCTTGCCATAGAATGGACGCTTCACATGAGTTTGATTGGGAAAGCGTTTCTATTCTTGACGCGAGGAACCTTCATACCACAAAAGATTGATCTCAGAGATGATTCATATAAAAAGACAGGTTAATTCTCTGAACAAACAATCTGATACCGAACTATTATCCGAAGAATACCTGCCTATTTTAAACCTACTCCCTCCTCCTAAATAATTGTTCCTCCACTCCTCCTCTCTTACTCCCCCCTTCTCTCGTACATCCTACTTCCTTCTCTTACTTTAATATAATTCTCGTGCCATTTGCCAAGTTACCTTGCTACGACCATGCTGACCAAATTGTTTCCGCTCACAGCATTTCCAACAAAACTACTAAGTACGTATTCTAATTCTGTTTCCTACTAATTATAAAATCATTTTATATTTTTTTCCTTACAGCTCATTTTGGTACATTGCCTTCATTTTAACCCGCGTTTATTTATACAATATTGTACACGATATGCGTTTTTTAATATGTTAACCGTTACGACACTTTGTATAAAATTATTGTCTATTACTGAAGATGGTCTAGAATTCGACCGAAACGTCTAAGTTATTCTTTATGTTAGTTCAACAATAAATTATTTTATTTTTTGACACGTACATCTCGTCACGGCTCAGAGCCCTTTCTTCTTGATTCTGATTTTTATTCTGATGTCTTCTTTTTATCGCTAACTCTTCTGAAACGTTTCGTATCTCGTCAGTCTATCGATATTACCAAGATTACTACATCAATGCCACGCTCTAAAAAAAAAATATATATATAGCGAGTGTCTGTATATTCTCAACGTATGACATTTCCTTCCTTCCATTCTCCGTTCTCGTAACGACGTTTCTTGTCCTGGTCCCAAGGATTGTGCTGATATTTTGTTACTGTCATACGCCGAGTGCACGAGTCGATTTATCGGCGACAAACTCAATATTCCGCTTACGACGAGCGGGAACACGCATCGCAGTCATTTCGTCGAGAATCGCTCGGCTGCTGGGATCACGCAGCCACTCTATGTGTAATGAAGCAACGCTATAAATTTATTCGGCGATTGTCATCGCAATGGTACGCGATCGGAATTGCGTATCGACTAAACAGCGTGGCTGTCACGAAGAAAAAGTAGTATTCTAGAAAATTAGTATGACACTTTAGCAAACCGATAATTCGCGTGACTGTTTATTGTAGAAACTGGGCGCGGGTGAACGTAAATTATAAATGAAATAGTGGTGGTCCCGACGTCAAATTGGAAAATAAGTCGACTCGATACAACCGAGTTTATTTTGCCTTCGCGCTACCGATGAATAATCTATAAATATTTCACTTTTTAGACAGTCAGAAATTAAGTTAAATTGACTTATTTTTCTCGAGCGCACAAACATGCCGGGAACGAGAAATCGATAACCCGATTCGCGCTAACGCGGATTGCGACGTAAATGAGAATTTTAATCATTAAGAAAATGACTGTTCCGGGTAATTTAACATCTGGTAATTTCGCTTAAAAATAAGTCGAGTCTACTCCGAGCGCAGTTGTTTGTCTAGAAAAACAATCTGTAAATCGCTTCGTAGGACTAAAGCGTGATTTTTTTTATATGAAGGATGGAACGTAAGTTTTATGTATCTGCTACTTTAATACGATATCTGTGAGAAATGTATTTATGAGATGTTCTTGCAATTGAATAGTGCAGCAGCCACTGTCTTCGATCCGCACGAGTGCGTGGGAAAAGATTTATAGATTCTTGCGACCGTATAAATACAACCCACGCTCGTTAATCACACCTCTTGACTACTGCAAACGTGAAATAATCGGAATCGGGTAGTTTAAGAAAAAGCTCGTTCTCGTAAAAGCGAGTTTAATTACATTTTCGAAGTACTCGGATCATCGTTGATCTTCGGAACGCTCGTTTTTTTTATTTTCATCATTTACGCATCGTCAATTCGTTTATAACATTTATCAATAAACTTTTATATCACGCGGCGACAGAAATCTCCCCTTTGCATCAACGTATGTGTCCTTAAGGGCCAATAAAACATACTTTACAGCATGTAAGAGGGTAGCGCGTATCCGCGACGGAAAGTTTCCATCTCAAGAAGAAAGGTTCACGGAAAAAAACATTTAGCTGCTGTAGCTAAAATTTAGTAAAATATGGACAGCTAATATTTTTAGTTGTGATAGCTCAATATTTTGCTACGACAGCAAACCGTTTGCTACGTAGGCACATGTGCCTATTGTATTAGGTGCGACAGCAAACGGTTTGCTGTCGTAGCAAAATATTGAGCTATCACAACTAAAAATATTAGCTGTCCATATTTTATTAAGTTTTAGCTACAGCAGCTAAATGTTTTTTTCCGTGTTTGTTACATTTAATGATCACGGAACACGGCTAAGGGAAATTATGTCATCGATTTGCGTCCGGGATTTCCGCACATGTCGTGGCTGTATGATAAGCGTCTTGCACCGAAGGATTGAGTGGTCTCATTGATCGCAGTGGCAAGAAACAGACGAGATTTGTGCTGCATTGAGCAGCATACGCTTTGTACTTCCACCGACTGCGTCCCTTTGTATCCAACATGCATCCTTTATTTAATCGACCCATATCTCGATTTTTGCGTGTGCCAAATGCGAAAAGGTGCCATAAATAGCTTGCGAGTGTAAATTATTTTTACGACGAAGAAGGTGGAAATCCGAATTTTGCGTTCTCTCTTATAAATTCTGGATAAAACCGTTTAAAATATTCAAGTTTATACGCATATTTTTTATACAATTATGTATGTATAATTATTTAGACACAAAACAAAATTCTAAATTTTACTTTGCAGCGCCATAAAAGGTACTATAAATCAGCAGAATTTTGCACACTTTTAACTTTACGTACTTTCGGAAATTCATCTTTTGTTTTTTTTAAAAAAAAAGGCGAAAATGGCATATGATCACCGCGCCTAACCATGTGAATTCACATATCCCTGCAATTCGTTATATGAGCACGCGTTAAATGCTCGCGTATTCCCGGTACTAATATCCTGCAAACGAGGACGAATTGACGGTGGCAAATCACAGAGTGTCATCCGTGCGGTAATAAGCTCCCGTGAAACGAAATGAAATGAAACCTATCGCAAACCCGGCGTTATTTCCGCCGTTGGTTAGCGCAAGCTCTCGCGTTAATAATCCGGAATCGGTTTCGAAACGCGCGTTCGCGCCTTTGTCCGAAGGCAACCCCCTTCCGCGATACATAACTGTTACTGACGTGGAGATTAATTCTGTATTTCAGAGGCTGATCGCTGAACTCAACAAGGAACAGGAGGCTTTCATCGCCAGCAAGCAGGCAGGCGAGAAGGTCGAGGCTGTTGCACCGTGGGTCGGCGCGCCGAATGAGGACGCGTTACGCGAGGAGTGCCTGTCCCTCTCGACCGTAATTATTTTTCCTTTTTTACCCTCCCTTTTCGTAGAGACTTTCCGTAGAAACACTTTGAGTTTTTAAATAAATTTTGACTCGCTACTATCTGTTCAGCGATCATATACCTTTGTTACACGAGCGTAGTTCCTCTTTCGACCGATAATTATTTTTCTTTTTTATCCTCTCTCTCCGACGGGACTTTCCTAGAAACGCTTTGAGATTATTAACAAATTTTCTATGGCTCGATACTATCTATTCACGGATCATACCTTGTCATACGAGCGTAATCAAAGTGGATCATCAGTATTCGTCTCCTTCTTCGCTGTGAGACGAATCATTGAAAAAGAGGAATATTTTTCGAAAGACTTGGGCCCGGTCGCACCAACGTCACTTAATGTTAAGATAAGCCTGCATAAACTGACCAAAAGTAGACAGAAGTGAAGTACGTTGTAGTTGTACATTTTATCTATTAGTACGGTACGGTATTAATTCGTTCTTCGTCGCTTTGTGCTTCCCTTGGAAAGAGACAGAATTAATTAAGCTATGGTTAAAGTCAAGCGACGTTGGTGCAACCAGGCTTTGATGCTTTTTAAAATTTTTACATATATAAACACGCTGTTTTCTCATTTCGAAAGAGCGCAAATCGGAATGCAACGCAACCAGTTTCGGGTCCCTTTGTTCGAAAAATAGATTGCCTTCATTCGCTTACGAGTTGGAAAAGCTAATTTCTCTAAATAAAAATACGGGGCGTGTTTGTTATCTTATTCATCGGTGTTTTACACAGAGAGCGTGAAACCTTTATTTTATTGTCGGAGTTCAAATTCTATTGCAATTGACATTGCACACACGTTTCCAATGCCAGTACAAATTTTCTAAGTCTCATATTCGCAGTGTTGATTGGTGTTGATGAAACAAATTTGCTCATTATATTATTTATGCACTGCTACTATTGGATGCATAAAATTATCCGTATTAAATTTAAGCATCTATGTTTGATCGCGTAATGTACGAGAAGGCATTTCGAGTAAGTTTTGTCGCGCAGAGGATTTTCACTGTAAGACAACTTTACCAACCGTGTGTCACAAAGGTACTGTGCGATAGAATTTGCATTTATTAACTATTACACCACACAGAAGCCACGTATGTCACCGGGTTTTTTCCCGTTCTCGTATTTTTATATTCTCGTTTCGTGTTTTCATTTCATTTACCAATTTCATCACGTTTCCTAATAAAATTCCGAAAACTGCCGATCGAATGTCGTTAAAAATAGTCCCGTCTCGTATGCAGTGAAAATTTTATGATATTATATCCTTGATAGTTGTTTCTATTAACTTTTAAGCGCCTGGAATTGGCATACAGAACTAAGCCGTAAAGGAATCTTGAATGAGCATCACAAGTTTTAGGATTTAAAGAAATAACATCCCGAAACAGTGTTATGTAATTAATGTATGAGAGAAATATGCGGCATATGTAAAATTAAATTCTCCTACGATTACAACAAACACGGGATACCTTTTTTTTCTAGCGGAAAGTGTGTTATAATATTTTTTGGACGTTTTAAATTAATTTTCCATAACACAAAACTGCTCGTGACAATTAATTAGAGAAAGCATTTCTATCATTGGAGAAAGAACGGCTTTCTGCCGTTTATTCGTGCTGTTAAGGACACTCCGCTATTTATTTACGCATCATTACAAAAGATTAGAGTCATGAATTTGGCGTATGGCTTTAGTCGAGCCGGCCGGATTAAATGAGAGGATCCTACCTTCTCGTGTATTTCAGGATCGACGTAATTTCGTGAGAGCACCACCGCCAGGCGTAGAATTCGCTTGGGATTTCGAGGCCGTTCAGCCAATGGCACAGGCCACCCTTGCCCTGGATCCGAATCTTGAAGCTATGAGGTTCGAGCTTGTCCCGAAAGTGTAAGTAGATTAAAGTATGCCCTATCATAACGATCCAAAACGACGCTCTTCCTTTCCATTTATTCGATATCACGAAAACAGCTTTACGCTTTCCAATTAAGCTTCTAATTTTATGATTTAAAATGATTTTACTGGAAAAAGGTAAAATATTTGTAACGTTATAATCTTTCATATAAATGATTAATTAATTAAACACTCTTGATATTGAAATTAATGAGTCAGAAGAAAGAGGTTTCAGAGTCAAAACGCGATTAATTGTTTTGAGTGTTAATGTTAATAACGTTTAATTAATAATTTAATAGAAATTATAAATTGTTTTATAAAAACGTTTTATAATTGCGTTCGATTCTCGAAGTCCACTTTTTCTTGTTAACCTTGCATACGAAATTAATCATTCTGACGTGTGTTTCGTTGCCAAAATAGTTGGCATTACGATCCTTCACAAAATCGCATTACGATCGCGCAATGATGTGCAGTGAAACATTGCAACGTTTACGTTGGTTATTAAATTGTGTGTCGACAAATGAAAGGTTTAAATTATAAAGTTTAAATTATGAAAATGTGTGATTTGATATGATTAATTTACTTGCGAACTTGTTTTCTCAAAGTGCCGTATCATTTTCAATTAACTTTATACTCTACGAAGCATGAAAAAGTTGATTAAATTATGTCGTAACATTCGATGGAAATAATGCATTTTATTGTCCGCGTAATTTCATTCGGTTCAGTAAAACGAAGTGGAGAAAATACAGAAAAGGAATTTCATGGTTGATAACGAGCGGCCAATAAAAAGGATGATAAAAAGAAAGTTAATGCACAGTTCACCCCGTCATTATTGCTCGATTTAAACAATTAGTCGATCTCGTCGCTTTTGAAATCGACCGGGTTTCTCTTTCGAGACCTTTGTACGTGAATGTCAAGGGTCGCAAGTGAGGGCGATTACCGTGCGGGGAATACGAGTACATTGTACAGATTTAATCGCCTTGGCGATTAATCGGTTCACGATTTCGATGAAATACCGCTGGCAAAGCGCAACGTTAATTAGCGTGACTGCGAATCCTGATCCCGGAACCCGATCCCTTCGTCAAACCCTGTTGATCGATGCCGAGGGCTCACCCGATCTATTCGGAACAGTATATCCGAGGAGAACTTCTGGCGCAACTACTTCTATCGGGTGTCCTTGCTGCGTCAGGGTTACGAGCTGAACGCGATGGCCAGCCAACAGCAAGCGGAAAGCAACCCCAATCAAACGCTCGCCAGCACCGATAGCATCGATCATACTCAAGGTAATTCGTTTCCGCTGTTTTATATTTCTTCTCTGTTATGTAGAACGGTTTGCGTAGTACGCCGACGTTGGCATTGCGACGTGATTAGGTTCTCCAGTTTTGCTCGAGAGCGTCGTCGCTCGACGCGCTTCCTGATCTGTCAATACCGATTACGGAGCACGCAGCTTTCTATAATACTGAAGGGGACGTCCTACATGCCGCCAGAATATGCGAATATTAACGATGCCAAGTCTGATTAAATGATTGTCATTGTTCAATGGAGCAGCGTACAATTTGTCAAAAACAAGACGTCTCACTCACAGCTGCCTTTGAAATTAAAAACAGCAGCTTCACCAGTGCGATTTCAATATCGCGGCGTCGATAAAATGTCCAAGATATTTAATTAGATAATAACAATATTGATTATCACATGTAATTCTGCTCGCGACCCTCAGTGTAACGTACGATTTTGCATTGGCTAGACTTTCCGACTGAGGTGTCGTTCGCCGGAAGTCGGAAAATTCCGATTGTCTGCGCGGCCGGGGCTTCCCCTTTGACGTCGCGGCATGACGTCTCGCCGAGATAAGCCCCGTCGGGTTCGATGATGCAAGCTGCAAAGATGCAGCTCGCGGACGGGGGTAGAGAGATCGGCGGCGTCGCGCTGCGTTTACGCCTGATTTGCAATTCCGATTAGCAGCGTCCCACGGTGGACCTTTTTTGCATGGTGTGGAGTTTTTGAGATGGTGTGTCTGTAGTGGCGTGCGTTTTGTGTGCAAATGTCATGCCGGATGCTGGGAACGTATTGATCCGAGGGAAGCCCGGGGGTTGTAACTTGTAACGAATTTGAGACCGAGCCTGTGATTACGACTTGGACGGCTTGCGCAGCATTTACATTAATCTACGCGAAAGTTAGCGCGGCACGAAATCGATATCACGTTAAAATTTTGATACTTTGATATATTATATATATAAAATTACGTGACGTATCGTGATATTGCGAGCCATTAATAGTAATTTCTTTATATATGATACATAATTACATCGTGCATAAAACAATGTGGGTATAATGCGTATCGTATATTTTACGTTGGTATTAATTACTAATAAGTTGTACGTTCTCTCATGAAATACTATGAACGCTTCAATTAATTTCATTTGAACAAAACCGATTATAAACTACATAGGCCGAGGGAGGGATGGGGGAAGAATGTGTTATTCGAATTTCCCTGATGAAGCTGTTTATTTAACGGTTGAAAAGTATGCTAGATCGTTGACAATCCGTAGCGGATGTACCAATGCGTTCCATCGTGTATATGGGCTGCTTTTGCACGAAACGTGGTGTCACGTCGGGATTACGGCATCGGAGAACGAGAGAGAGAGAGAGAGGAAAGAGCGGGAATCATCAACCTTTTGCGATCAACCCTTTGATCGTGCAAACAATGCAATTGCGAACGGCGATGAATTAACGGATTAAGGAAAATACTCGAGTCGCGGAATCAATCCTGGGGGAGAAACGAGCGCTGAAATATCGGAGCCAAAAATTATTCCGTGAATGTGAATTCGGGTTGCTGCTACTCTTTCTCTCTTCTTCTTTTTCCTTCTCTCTCGTTCGTTCCATCTCCCCACCGCACCGTCTCTCCGACCATCGAACCGACGACTCCGAAAGATTCGATTTCGCTCCAGTTCCAGTGTATCGCGAGAAATTGAATCCAGCGAGAAGAAAACGCTGGAAGATCCGGTAGTGCTCGGCCGAAGGGCACGGATATCCCGAATATTTGCTGACGAAAGAAACGGTATCTTTGCACCCTAGAATTTGTCGGCGAACCCTCGCGGTATCCCTAAGCGTCGAGGAACGTCCCCGAATTCCTTTCTTCTATATTTAAATCGTGGACAAAAATTACTTTTGCCGCAATATAAATGTAACATCTCATCTCCGTCGGTCGTCTCGTCGTGCATGTATCGATCCTGAAATCACTCGCGTTAGCAATTTTCGTGAAAATTTTGAACGCGTGAATTGATTAACTGTCGCTTCGCTTTCGCGTTTAGATTAATTAAAGCCCCCCGCCCCCTACTTCCTGGAACTGGGTGCGATCGGCTTCGGCAAACAACCGCGGCATCTCCCGTTCACGATTACTAATCGTTTGCGTGCGAAATCAGGTTCCAGTAGACTTAGCGTTAGCATTAGATACATAAACACACGCGCTAATGTACATAACGACACGCATCCTCATGTACACGTACACGTACATACGCGCACCCCTACCCGTCTAGTTTAGCCGTCAGTGTTGTCTTGCGAACAGTTCAAATGACCACTGGCCAGACAACCACCGCCGGCGCCACGACGGCGAGCAGTAACAGCGCGCTGGCCGATTCGCCAGGTCACGAGTTCGTATCCGATACCATGAGGGTCTCGGACACAGACCTCGAGGAGGTCCGAGAGGGGATGAAAAAGCTGGGGATGCAGCCGCCGAAAGGTCAGTCGTTGATCGTTGGTCGTCGTTAACTCTCCCACCGTGTCGGACGTGACTCCTGTCGATCTCGCCGTCTTGTTCGGCTAATTCTCGCGGCTCTCCCCGCGATAATCTTCGTCGACCAGACGCAGAGTTATCGCGGCGAGCGCGAGAAACGAGAGCAATTCTAGAACTGGAGGACTTGCCCTCTGGATAGATCGCGGTACTCGCGCACAATTTAAATGAGAATTTTTAATTGAAATGAGAATTTCTCCGAATTTCTACGACGGTAGATTGTGTTTGTTACGTTGTCCGGCTAGAATGACTTACTTCTAGAAAACTTAGACTCCCCATTTCCTTGGTCTTCGTTAGTTACGACCACCAACGAGATTTTGCAATTATGATGAGGACGCCGTTCCTTATTTGCTGGCGATTAATGAACGGTACCAAACAAGATTGAATTAGCAACTGGACCGAGTTTCCGATGGATGAACGTTAGCAACAGACGAAGGAGCAATATCCGCGGTTGCATTCTTGTTGCTTCTGCAAATCTTTTATTAACTAAAATTGGATGAAGATCTAGATCGAATATGATTTGATAGACAAGCGAAATGTCCGCAGCACCCACAGCTCCTACAAATGTGGCCTTGGAGAAACGCAGAATCGTTCCAGGTAATTGCGTTGCCTATTAAATGCGCTATAGCGAAATTTGTTGTCGGCTGAGAAATGGCAGTTCTTGAAAAGTATTTCTTGTCGCGGGCTTGTTACGTACCATTCATTGATCTCACCAGCAAAACGGAAACGGGTCACCGAGGTGATCGATGCGAAAGCTCGATCTGTGCCACGACACGGTCCAAGAGTACTCCCCTCGTGAGTATGAAATTAATGCCACCGCGCGAAAAGCCTGACCTTAATTTCTCAGTGTGTTACACCACCACCAAGCTAGTGTCGTTTCTTACGTAGCTTCTCTGTACATCCCTTCGATCTTCCTGTCTGTGCTTTCTTTAGGGATTGCTTGTTTCCGAATTCTGAGTGTGTGGCAACGACGTGTGCCCTTCCGACGCGCGTCATGTCGTTGTCGCGATGTTGAACGTCTTGTTGCGTTTGAACATCTCTCTCTCTCTCTCTTTCTTTCTCTTTTTTTTCTCTCTCTCTTTTACATGGGCGCTCTGACTAAACGACCGCTTTTCATTCTATTTTGTCAACAGCCTAAAAGAAGAGGAGAGTGCCCCCCAAATGCCATTATCCAAAGCACACCCCTCAGAGATATACATGCTTCCCACTCTCGAAAACTGACAATTTCAGTTCTTGCGATACCGAACCTTTTCTCGCGGCTCTTTCCCCCTCCCGCTCCCGTTTCCGTCCCCCCTCTTTTGTTCTCTTTCTTTTTCTCTTTTATTTTCTGTTCCCGCTACGTTCGATCGCGAAGCCACCCCCTCCCGGCACGAACGTTTCCACGGGACGAACAGCGTGTTCCTTCTTCGCGGATATTTGTTCCGTTTCCGATCGCCGGCGGCCCGCCAGTCGCAAGGATCAGCTCGATTAAACGTCACGTCGAGTACGAATCGACGAAGAAGTCAGCGTGCAAAATGTGGAGCGCCTCCTCTCATCCTCTATGACTGCGGAACGAGATGAACGTGCGTAAGAAACAGCAAGGTCCGATTTAAGAACATTAGGCGATTAGATCCGTCATTGAGACATAAACTTAATTAGTCTAGTGGAGAAAACTTTTCACGTGGAGTAGCGCTTGCTGAGCTTTCTGATTTTTCGTATCGACGTTAGTGACTTTAGAGCACTCGGGCGATTTATATAAAAAAAATGTCGACTTGTTATTTTCATGTGGAAGAGGACTGAAATGTCTCGAACGGGCGCCGAGGGCACTTTTATATTTTCCATGAAGAGAGAGCGCACCTTTCGAGTGCTCGAGGAGACGAGCTATTAGCTCGTCGGGACAAGCGCGATATATTCCCGTGCGATCCTTGCGATCCTTTCAGATCCACGTGTCACGGGGTGCATCCTAGGGATGCTCAGTTCCGGTATACGGGGGCGACAAGCTCGCAATCAGCGCACGTAACGCTGTAACGCGTATCGCAGCGGGATTAAGCAAACCGAGAGGAACGTATGCGACGAGGCAATGCCGCGTGATTGTACCGCGATTATTATCGTTGTTATTACTGTCGCGCTGCGAGGTCGTCGCACTGATATTAAGCGCTAATACCCGAATCGGTAATGAGTTCGGAGACAATTCACGTCGCGACTGGCTGATGACGCGAAACAGAGAATCGATGCGGCTGACGCGAAACGCTGGCGTCGGGGCTGGGCGAAAGTTCGCAACAGAAAAAGAGAGAGAAAAGTATTTTAAGCGCCGGGCCACTTGCGATCTTATTTTCGAAAATGTTACAAAAGCTATCGTTCTTTTTATTTTCAATTTTTGTGTCGGGTAGACGCATCTGAAAGTTTGCCCAGCCCCGGTTTGGAGGCACGTCGAGCTCGTCGAGAGTCGCGAGAATCGAAGATGAAACGCGGCGGAGAGAAAAGCGGAAACGTGGATAAACAACAGGTCGTCACGTCGAAACGTTGTGCGCGCATACACGAACATAATGAATAAAGCAGATGCAAACACAACAATAAAAGGGAGGTTCCGCGAGAGAACGAAGAACGGGAAAGAAAAATAACGAGCATACACAACCGGAATGGTGGCAAAAAGATGTTCGGCTACGTCTGTATGTTTGACCATTTTGCTGTTACCCCTTTCTCTCTCTCTCACACACTCACTCTTTCTCTCTCTCTCTCTCTCTTTCTCTCTCTTTCTCTGTATCAATTCCAATTAATCTAGCCTGTTCTCGATTCTCTCCGTGTCTTTGTAAAGCATATAACTAAACGCAGAAACGATCGAGTAAAACTAAACAAATCGGGAAGTATATCGCAGTTATTGATGAAACGCGAGAGATTACGTTGCGCAAACCGCAAACTTAATTATAGGTATATCTTCGTAAGAGATTAATTAAATGGAGATCTAAGGAAAAATAAGAGAGAAATATATGTATAAATATATATATATATATATACTATTGCTAAATAAAATATAAAGGCGGCGGCGCGATCTTTTTCGATCTGAAACTTTTCCCCCGTGGATCCTCCTCGCGACATCCACTCGCTGTGTCACCTGATAATCAGATCTCTCGCAAAGAAAATCGGTAGATTCTCGCTAGAAGCGTACCAGAGAGACGAATATCCGATAGTGTGGGACGAGAGACGATCTCGCGAGACTCCGGGCTTCTCGGCGGAGGACGTTCGGATTTTTTTATCGCGCCGCTGTAAAATTCGTTGAATGACAATACGTGTTTTACCGGGAAACGAGCTATAATACCGCTGGTGCCCGGCACTCTCGTGGGTGGTGTAGCTATTGTAGCGATTTTTTCCTTTCGAAATGAAAAAAAAAGCGGCTAATTGATATCCGTTTTGCGCGGCGCCCGATCGTCCATCGGGCAAGGCGGAACGGGATAAATTAATTACGCGCCCGGCGAGTTTTTCCACGCGGACGAAGAACGATTGGGTGGTAAGCGCGTCTGACGAGCGATTTGTATGCGTCCATCGCGAGGATTTACGCGAGAGACGCGTCTGTAGGGTTGCCCGTCGCGAAAAAGAAAGGATAAAGCGCCACGTACTTTTGCAATCGGTAAAACCCCGCCCGCGGCGATGCGTGGTCGCGCGTCCCGTGAATTATCCAAGTATAGCGTTAAGAATTCCGTTCTTCTGTTAAGAGTTAGTATCGCAGGGAAGCGTCGATGTTTAGTATTACGGTGATAGATCGCTCGCTTGAGATCGTTTTATTTAATGGTGACACCTGCGTTTCGATTTTGTACGTACGTTTTAGAGTATTTTACCGCGCAATGAAATAAGCAAACTTAATTCTTTTTTTTTAGTTGAGAAAATCGTGTACATTCCATACGTGTTGTTCAAATCGCGAGCCTTCGCCATATGCTACATCGTTTTTTTATTTATTTATTAAATCTTTACACTTAAAGTGAAGTTGACTGGAAAATAGAATTAAGGTGGCTCCTGCACGAATATAACATGGGTGTTATATTACATTTATCTTGTTGAGTAGGGAATTATAATATTGATGTTATGTAACTGTTACTCAGTGTTTATTGGAATGTTAAAAAATACTTTAACATTTCTTCTTTCTTTTATTTCATCGGCGTCCGGGTCTAAAATTTCGCGTACTGATAGATAAAATTTGCAGCATACTTAAATTTCAATTTTTTTCTACTTTGGGTCGGTTTATGCAGGAGCCACCTCAAAGGACTCGTAGGCGCGTGAAGTAAAATAATAGGCAGTACGGTGAGAAAAGTAAAACAATGGTTCTCGCGCCTCACGGCATTTTGTCCTATTTTTTAAATTTAGTATACCGCGCGCAGTTTTATGGGAGGGGACGTAGATTCGCGCGAAAACATCGGATTATCCGCTTTCGTTTCGTGCAGTCCGATAAAAGTCGGTGACAACAGAATTATGGCTTTCGGTTCTCGGTGCACACTTTTTTCCCCGCGCGACTTTTACCGCGCGAGGGATCGAGATTATCGTAGCCGGACGCGCTGTGAGGACGAATCGATAGACTTGGGAGCGGTTTCGCGCGGACACGTTGCGAAGCGTCTTCGATAACTTGTGTTATTTCGAGGGAGAGAAACGTCCTGCGAGATGACCCCGTACCTTGTCGCTCTCTTTCATTTACTCTCCTTAGAGACGGCTGCGTACAGGAACGTTTAAGCTGCGTCTTAAGATAAATCCGCGAGCTCGTTTCAGCAGTTGGAGCGCAACACGGGGCTAAGACGATGCGATGCGACTTGAAGTGCGCATGAGATTGTTACTTAAAAGTTAGGCATTCCTAGAGGGGCCGCAATATATATATATATTTATTATACGCCTACTATCACTAGTTTATTCCCGTACGAGTTTTAAACGTACGCACGACGGTATTAGATAATTTCGCGCCGGAACGACGGATCATTTTATAGCGCGGCGGTGTCCGAAAGCTGCCTTCAAACTGGCGCGACTGTAATAAAAAAAAAGAGGGGGGGATCGTACGTACGCGCTATTTAAAATGAAATTTTATATAAAATTTGATTCGGGCGAGCTACAGGTCGCCGAAAATTAAATTCCATTTTTTTACTTCGATATTTTTCATTCCGCTTGTTTCCACAGCGATCCTCCGGGACTAATATTACTCGTTCTTACGTTCGACACGCTATTTCTTTGCGCGGGTATGCGAAATATTGATTTCGCCGTTTTATAGCTTTATATTTGTCTGCAGCACGACTTTAGGCACCGCCGGCTTAGAGCGAAACGAGGTTTATTCTCGCGCGACAGCGTACCTACGGATAATTGCATTCCAGAAGCATTTAAGTCGCGATATCCCGATTAATTACTTTTGTAATTGTGAGCCAGCCACTTTTGTAACGAGTACGTGTTAAGCGAAACGTGATTAGCTCTAGCTACTCCTCCCGGCAATTCGCTGTAATTTCCAGAGTTATATAAATCGGTCACCGTGTAACAGACATCGTCGTTGTCGCCGTCGTTGTCCGTGAAACGTAAGCGCAGAAAGGATAAGAAAAGCGATCGCGGTCGTAATCGTGTAATATCTCCTCTCTCTTTCTCTCTCTCGCTCTCTCTTTATCAGGCTACTAACATATCATTGTCTTTAACCCGCTTAACGAACCGAGCTCAGGGCGAAAGCTTTCGAAACATGAACGTCGAAGCCTTTCCCTCTCGCTTCCGTTGTTCTCGCGTTCTCTTTCTCCATCCCTTTTGATTTCTCCAGTCCTGTAATTTGAGTTTTGCCCGTCCAGTCCCGATACTTTTACACACACACACTCTCACACATGTACACATACATACACACACTTAAAGATATACCACATAAAATGATTTCCGTGCGCAAGAAACTCAGATATTCAGCGCGGAAACACAAACAGACGAAACAGACAGACAAACAAGACCAGAGTGTGGCCCTCTCTGCAAAATAGCTACAACGCTGCTTGTGCCTCTCCGCAGAAGAAGATTGGGAACGTGAATTGGAAGCCGAGCTAAAGGATTACGAGGTTGTAACGGGCAGCAATAGCGGCGGCGGCAGCGGCCAGGAGAGGAGCGTCGCGACGGCCAAAGACATCGCGGTCGGCGATAATGACTGGGAGAAGCAGATCGACGAGCTGCTCGCCAACGAGGACGACGAGGACCTCAAGTGAACCGGGGAGATCCTTTTCGTGACCGGATAAAAGGGTCGCTCCCACGTTGAGATCCCGCGCGAGAGCAGCGAGATCGGCGTGCTGGTTTTCGCATTGGAACTTTCTCTCTGATACGGAGAAGCGAATTTCTTTTGTACATTATCAGTCGCTCGTTGATCTCCCGACCGGGGGGGCCGTGCAAGAACGAGAGAGACGAAGGGCGAAGCGATCCTCGACGAGGCTCGCGAGTCGTCTCTCGATCGCCGATTTCATTTCCCACCGAGGAGATCGACTCGGCTGATGGATTCAGGCGCACCTTGCGCACGCGTTCATTCTACGATATCGTAACGCTATTGTTTTTTTGTTTTTTTTTTAAGGCGAACCTAGTTGTATGCATTTGACCCAAAGACAGCTTGTTCCATTCGCATGATTTTAACGTGTAAGAAGAAGAACTCGAGTCTGGCGAGAGCGATAAATTTCCTTCGCCGATCTCGACTTCGTTCTCCTTCCATGACGTTGCGTGAGGAATTCGCGCTTTTCAGGGAATGGCAATCTCGCCGTATATTGACACGTAGAAGCCCGATCGCCGATAGGATTCCTTTCGCATTCGGCTTCTTTTACATGGAAAAGCGAGAAGCTCCCCGCGCGTTGTTATCTTTTATTTTGGTTCGTTTCGCGACTGTCTCCGCATAAAGACATCCCCATCAAATGAAATACGCGAAGCCTCTCGTAGGGAGAACGTAGTCGCTGGCATCTCGAAAGGGAGATGGCCCCCTCGCACACACTTCGATCCATCTTCGCCGATCTCCTGAGGGAGAGAAACGCGAGTGAAGACGACGTCGAGATTCTTTGAGACTCGTCCTCGAGAAGCGCATCGGGATAAAATGGAGGAGGCCAGGCGTAGGGATGAAAACCGGAAACCGCACGAAATATTCTCGACACACGGGAAATCACCGCTGTTAACGGCAAAAGTGGGGATCGTACAAAGGGCAGAAGCGAAAGAGACAGAAACGAGAGTTCTCCCCCGTTCTTTCGTTTCTATTTAATTTCTCGGTAAGAAAAGCACCTTCTTTACGATCCTCGAGCACGATGAACACGGTGGCCGTTTTACAGCTTGCCGATGGAGGAGAAAGACCCGCGCACTCGTACGATTATACTTTCGTCAAACGTATACTCGTCCGAGATGCGTGTGAATCTTCACGCTTCCATCTTCGTATTTGCAGAGTAGCGCCCGGCTGCTGCAGCGCCAGAGAGAAAAATGGATGCTGGAGAGCTAATATGAATTAATTAACACCACAAGCTTATGTCAATTATCGGGCGCTGTTGCCCGAGAGCATAATGTTGATTATAACGACAAATGTCTTCAAAGTTGTGTGATATTAAAGTAAAATTAATTTGAGGCACAGTCGACGGGGGTTGCACGGGAGTGCGATCGTTCGCACGCGAACGTTCTTCATCGTGGTCGAAGGATCGACGGTTTTTCAAGATAAATTACACTGCCGTGTGCCGAAGGACACCGTTTCGAGCGCGGGTCGACAATTGCGGCGACCGGTGGCGCAACGGGTCGCAAAATTAACGATCCTCGGACACAATTGGAAAAGAGTCATTTCGCAATTTTTGAACATGTACATTAGAAAGCCTCCCGGCTCGCGAGTAAAACGTTCTGAAGCACCACCAGAGACGCGAATGCGTCGCCGATCGCCGGTTCCTTCTTCGTAAACCGACGTATTATCGCAACGCCGCTTTTGTTGTCGATTGCCAGCAGTTTATTGCCGATCGCGAGGCGACGCAGTCTACGAAAGCATGTCAAAGGACCGCTTAATGTCTGCAATTTGACGCACTCGCCGTGACTTTGCGCGAGATATCCTACGAAAGCGGACAGGCACTAGATTTTAGCGATGTCTTTTGTTGTACGTTTCCGGCGAAATCTGTAGATAAGATGCGAGAATTGTCGTCGACGGCGACGGCGGCGGCGGCGACGACGACGACGAGGGGAGAGTGTGTCGTTCTTGAATTCGTTCTTGTCGATCATGGAAGTGTTTCGTTATGCGTTGTTTGTATTGTGTCAAAGTGAATTATTCGCTGTAAGTATGACATGTTCGCGTTGTCTGTACGGATGAAATATCGTAACAATAAATCATTGCATTGACAAAACTCCGATGGAGCACATGCTGCCGCTGTTTCATTTGTAAAACTCGCAAAGCACGCCGGCGGGAACGGGGGTCTTTCCAGTTTCGGGTCGCGGCAACGTCCCGGAGGACGCGCGGCGCAACATTTTGTTGGTGCAACATTGTTCTCCGTGCGACATACCGTCCAAATGGTCCCCTGCCAACGAAGGAGACAGGAAGAAACAGTTGACTTTCGCAGTCGGGGAGAGATTCTTGCGACAATAAAATCTCGCGTTACGCGAAACTGCGATCTACCGAGCGGTAGCGTTGATAAATCGTGCGGGACAGCACCCACCCTCGCACGCAAATTATTAAGGAAGAATGCGACAGGGATATCTTTTCCGTGCAGACAAACGGGTTTAGCTTGGACCGTGAGAGAGAGAGAAAAATCTGTCGCGTTCGAAGGCATACGTAGCGTCGAATAATGCAACGACGAGATCTCGTCGATGGCACGAATGATAAAACGGAGAACGCGCGCAGAGGTGAACGAACGTCGGATCGGAGCGAAGGCAACTGGATTTATAGTAGGGAGAAGAGAGCGTGGGCCCACAAATTTCATTGCTATTCGGTTCTATGTGCTATTTAGTAGTGTATAGTACTAATATTCGGTATTGCGTCTAGCTGTAATAAGCCTCGGCGAGTAAAATGTGAAATAAGATATTGTCGTGTATTTTCATCGTACACCCCGGATGCTAAACGCGGATCGTCTGACTGACGAGATTTCTATGCCCAACTGGCATTGTGAAATGTGGATCGGGTCGTTACATCTAATCGCTAAATGTACGCTGAGGATACAGGGGTATTTTCGCGGAGAGTACCAGAGCGATAAGAATCGCGTTCGGCGCAGAGGCGGATCTTCGCGCGCGTTAGATTTTTATTTTGTAGACAAGATCTCGAAAGGGGTCCCCGGGGTCTCCCCCGCTATAAATCCTGCCTCGGGGAGTAATGAATCGTTCGGGCGAGGAGCAAGTCGGAGCATTTGCGTTTCCCCGTTTCGAGACGCTCGTTTTGCATCGTGCGCCAAGTCCGGGTTTTCGGTCAATTTATACGCCACGACTTTTTCTACCCCTCTCTTTTCGAGTAGCCACCCCCGCCCCACTCGCCCCCCCCCCTCCCCCGAGGCGAGAGGAGTACCGCGGTGATGCGACGAGACCGTTTCTCCAGAGAACCGCGCGGCGAGCGGCCGCATATGATGTGTATTATTATATTAATACTTCTCTCACACGACTCGAGAAGGAGTCCGCTCGCGTCCGGCTGTGACCGCGGCCGCGCGAGCCCGCCGAGGAAGAAAGGAAAAACGCTGCTTCGTCCGCGTTCGTCTTTTCCCAATAAAACGAAAAACGAGGAAGCACAGTGAAGAGCTCGTTGTAAAGTTTCCATTCGTGTTTTAGTCGATAGGCGAAGTCTTGTAAGATTTACTTAAGGAGGCGCAATTCACCCAGGCCTAAGTCTGTCGAAGTAATGCAAAGGCGATAAATCGCATTTATCCGCTCTCTTTATTGTATTATACGCGGGTTCTCTCGTGCCCCGTTCGTTCCCTCCCGAATCCTTCAACTGTACAGACGCAAAAATCGCGAGAAAGAGAATTCCCCGTCTTTCTCTCTCCCCCCTCTCCCCCTCCTCCCACATACCGGCCGAAGCGAGGTGAAGAGAAAAAAAAAAGCACGCGAGATTTATATGACGTCGAATTTTTCGCGCGCAGAAACGTCGCCCTACCTTCCGCGAAAGCGACGGGAGATAAACGCGATGGCCAGAAATCGAGGTGTACTTCGGCAGAATAATAAAGTGAACTCTGTGAATTAATTGTGTAATAAAGCTATCCTACGGTACTGTGCATTCACACTCATAAAAAAAAAAGAAAATGAACATACACCGGATACCTATATATACATATATGTATATGTATACATGTATACATATGGATAAACATATATGTGTCTATATTTGTCACACCTGCGACAAGTATATGCATATACATGTGTGTTGTTGAGACTCTATTGAAAGTATGATAATATATTATGGATATATTATAACGAGAATATAATGACGCAAGCATTAAGATAAAACTACTGAAAAAAAGAATTATTAATGTAATTCGGAGAATGTAACAATAAAAGAGTAAGAAATAAAATAAAATATTACCTCTTATATAAGCTACTGTTTCGTCTGCCCTGCGTCGTTTCCAGCTGCAATACCCAATTGCAAAGTACCGTTCCAGCAATAGTATAAACTAGTAGGTCCACTCCCTGTCGGCTCCCTTGACCTTTGCGGTCCCGATCACGTGGTGCGCCGCCATTATCTTGGGCAGCAATCCAGCGGCGTGTGTGTGGCGGTGTGTCAAAGCTGCACTGCCGCACATATAACTGTTCTCTCATTGATTTGCCCAAAACAATGTCGGATGCACAGAAGGGATCGACGCAAAACGAAACAAATGACGGAGTGGACCTACTAGTTATACTATGGTTCCAGTAAAATATAATAAAACAAAGGTTAAACGAAAGGATTGCGTTCTATAATGCTAACAAGCGTTTCGTTGCAAATTGTAAATATAAATGTAATAATTCATTATCTTATTACAGATATATATATATATATATTAAAATAAATTTTTATTATATACGCATTGTTTGTACCCATATTTACAGATCTTAAAAATGTATGTACACAGCTTAACATTTTCAATCTCACATGTTCCATTTGAAATTCATGCCTATTTCCATGAGATTACAATTATTATTGACGCTCACTGCCTCCAAGTAGAGTATGACAGATACTTGATGACAAAACAGATCGCCGCGTATACAAAATCATTGATCGGAATGACTTGGTCGAGAATGGAAGCTATCGAATTGGCATTATGAAGGAAAATCAAGTGAGTCTACAATCAGTCAAGCTTAACGGAGCGAAGATCACATGAATTTACGAAATATGTTCCGAGTATAAAAGCGTTGAAGTACTTAGCCCTTTGAATACCGTGGGCGCGTTCAACGTACTTCCTTTCTAATTTATCCATGAGTTCATTTACGTATAAATAAATTTATATATATATAAATATGTATAAATAAATAAATAATATCAGAAGTAGAGTAATAAGTTCGCGGGAAAGACAAGTATTTTTAGTAAATTCAGTTACGTGTCGCATAATCTCTCGATAAGCTCGATGTGAAAAAGAACATCGTGTTTCTTATTACCAGTCGAGTGCCGGCCACGTTGGACATTCAGTATTGTTACGTACTCAAAGGGTTAAGTGATTTACATATGCCTACGTAAGAAAATGTTTCCACGACTAATTTCTGTTACATACACAATGGATTTACTTCGTCGACCCGTCTGCGGCGAGTATTTCGAGTTGCAGATTAAAGTACGTATAATTCTCTTTTAGCACAATGCAATTTCATTGCTGTAACTGCGCGATACGTTTCTCGCTCGTTCATTTACGTTAGTAGGAAGGAGACAGAGCATTAAAATCATCTTACACATTACGTCTTTTTGAGTTGACTTAAATACGAACCCGGCTCTTAGAAATACATAAATATAAACGTTAACGAGTTTTGTAATTAATAACATACTCGTACTGTCAAGATTCGTGTCTTAAAATTACCTTTAAATCATCCGGCAATACATGCGTGATGTCGTTCATTCTCTCTCGCAGTCTCTTTCTTACCGAATTATCGATTGGTACGTCATCGATGCAGCTTCTCTCCAACTTCTGGCGAATTCTAAGAATCATGTCGACTATTTCCACCTCTTGTTTCCCTTGCACCCACGTTTTCAAATCCTGTCCGTTTAGTAAAATGATAACAGCTTGTAATGGAAGTACGAGAAACGTGCAAAGGGGAAAATATCAATATTCGTACCGCCTGCGACAATTTCTCCAACTGTTTGACTTGCAACTGCTGACTCAGCTCCATGTATCTTGTGTGGAACCATCCGGAGAAGTTCGGCGATCGAAAGAATCGTTTGTACAATCCTACCCAGTCCCCTTTAATGCCTGTAGTTAATTGGGGACCGGAGCTACTTAAGCTAGCTAGGAAGTCATCTGGATTGAACATTTGTGGTGTAGGGGTTGCCTGGAGACAAAAAATGGACGTTATCGTATGGACTGATTGTGCAATTGCTTGTTGCTGGCAACTGATTCTCACCTTGAAGGGGGATATGTTCTTCTGCAGTGGCATGAGGGTCGCGATGTATCTCTCGAGCGGAATCATGAAGCTCTCCGTCAGCTCGATCAGGTGACGTTTCAAGAGCGCGGTCTGCACTTCGCCCGGCCGTTTCGTCTGAATGCCCCTGAACAGTTTCTTCAGTATAGTTTTGTCCTTTTGCAGGAAGGGTTTGTACTGAGTGTAAACGCCCGGCTTTGAGTCCAGCACCTTCAGATTTTCCGATCTCTTGATCTTATACTTTTGATCCTCTGAAACGTCAAATCTTCAACACATACGCACCACCAGCGATTAACCGCCACACAGAGCTTACCGCTGTTGCTGCCGTTGCTTATCCGGATGATGTGCGGCCAGTGTTGCAGGGTCTTGGCGAAGAATGGATTCGTCACGCCTAGGATCACAGCGGGCGGCGACGGGGAGTCCGTGGTGTACTCTTTGAATTCCGAGTCGTGAATAGTGAAATACGGGCGATGATCGGCACAGTACTTCAACGGCGCGATCATACTGGAAAACGTGTTTAAAATTGTAGGCGCAGGATGTATAACAAGGCCACGGCACGGCACTTACGCTATAAGCGCTTGAACCATCTCGGAACATGTGGTCGGCGAGCCTGCCATTACAACGATTGGCTCGCTAAGAAGCACCAGTTCCCACAGTAAATGCACGTAGCTAACAACACTGGCCAGGCTCCGAAACATGTCGCCCTCGTAGGCTGACGTCAGCATCAGTCTTCGCGGCTCGCGCAGACTGTTCGGTGCGTGCTCCATGGCAGCGATCGATGGAACAGCGGCTTTGTAATTTTGGTTCGGGATGTATGTCTGAAATAATCATATCCCTCAATACGCACAGTGCATACGCGTTTAACACGCGTAGCTCTCGAATTCGTTTACCTGGAACAACACTCCGATAAGAGGCAAGTGAACTATCTGGCCCGAGGCCGGAGGGGGCCAGTGATCGATCTCGCGCACCACAGCTTCCATGAGCGCTGTGCCGGCCTCGAAAAATTCCGGCGCGATCAGAGCGCACACCTCACCGAACAGATTGACAAACGGCAGTTTTGTAATTATGACAACACTCTGAAACGATATCGTACAATTAATTGCGTGTCGCCAGTCCCGATCTGTACAAACGCACCTTCTGAAAGTACCCCCTTGGCAACGACTTGTCCTTCACCTGTCGGAAATACACGTATCCCCAGTAATAATCTCTATCGGTTTGTAGAAAAGACGGTGATTTCCTATCGTATTCCTTGATAGCGTTGGTCTCCTGCACCATTTTGCCGCTCTGCCTTATTCTTACGTGATACTGAGTATCTCCCATACATCCGGAATTGGAGTCGGGAAAGGCTAGGTAACAGACATTGGATCTCTCCTGCTCCGACAGCTTCACATGACTCGGATAGATTGCCTGTCGCAAAAAAGAAGGGACACTTGCGATATCTGCGAGACAAGTACTTGGACGGTACGTGATTAATTAGATATTAGAGGAAAGAAGACGACGTAAGTTCGTAGACGTCGCGTCGCACCTCTATAGCTTGGCCCAGCTCAAGATCGAAGGTGACGATGCATATACAATGCACCCAGTTCCTGAAACGTTCCCATTTCTCGTAGGCTGCTGGCTCCTCGGTGACCTCATTGTCTACTCCACTTGTTGAGCAGGAAGGAACTGACATTGTTCTCTCTTTTCCACTTTTATCCTACTAATCTAGCATATAATCATCCGCCTCGTGTATTACTACGTATGCCATTCGTCGTTGTACAGCATGATTATCTTCAACTTTGTATTGACACTTGCACTGGCACTTGACTAACAATTATGTCATGTTAGAATAGGTCGCGGAATGTGAGCTGAAATGCGAGAAAGCCGGTTTCAATATCGCGCGAGCGCTCGGGTGAATCCGCGCCAAGGGGCAACTTACCACTTTACATGTATACCCGCATATCACTCGATATACGCATTGACTATAAATCTCGTTCGATTCCCCCGCGCTAATCCTCGAACGTCCTGCACGGCCGATCGCCAAGTTCCGCGTGTGCCCCGCTTGGCGGATTACTCGGGGGAGACTGAATCCGCCCCGTTCACCAGGAGGCTGAGTCAGAGGCTGATCGGGCCGGGAGCAGGCACGCTTAACGCCGCGCGGGCAGCGCGTTTACTCGTGTCGGTGCACTTGGCCGCGCGCACGCAACTGCCTCCATATGTTTCCCGTCTCCGGGTCGCGATCTGCCGAGCAACACAGCGGTCCAGCTCGCGGTACAATCGTCGACGGCCGTGCGCCCCGCGTGACGCACGCACGCGACACTCACCCTCGCCTTGTCCAAGTGAGTCCTCATAGCGTCCGGATACCAGCGATCAGATGTTTATAACCTCCGCGCGACCAGCCCGCGGCGCCCGAGAGAGAATTCCAACCTCGTACTCGTCCCGCGTCGACGACCCTGGGGGCGAATCGCTCACGAGCTGCTCCGTTCCACCGCGATGAGCTGCCACCGTCACGTCCGAGCTGCCTCGGCCTCGCGGCGCATTCCTTATTTCTCGACGAGCCCCGGACGCTCCGACGGGCGACTCTCGACTAATAGGGAATTCGGTATGCATTGATCAGCGCGCGAGAAACGCGAGAGGCGGGTTGGCGTCTACTCTCGCGGCTCTAGCGGCGGCGAGAGAGAGAGAGAGAGAGAAAGAGAGGGGCCTGGCGTTGCCTGGGAAAGTCACTGAATCCACAGGTTTCTCTCCGGCTGCGATCTCGCGGAGGAGAATACGGTTTGTTGTAAATTTTCACGCGGAAGCGCGCTGCACCTCTCATAACCTCGCGCCTTTCACTGGCAAGCACGTGTCGCGCGCGAGATGTGCGCCCGCAAGACGCGTCATTGGTGAGTACTTTTTTTCTGCAAAACTGTCGTGAACAGCTGTCGCGTTGTTGAAATACTTTCTGTACCGTTCGTCATGCAGCTGTATTTATTTGCTGTATTAAATACGCGTGTATACGACAATCGTACGTGCGCACATGATAATATTTTGCACCGCGTTTCCAGAACTGTGGAACGACGCGTTGCTCCACCCACGATAATGCGGTTTCACTGCCGGACGATGCGAAGCGATGGAGCTTATAACGTTGGAGCTGAGACCGCGCCTGCAATCCTGCAACGTGTTCATTTCCATACGGGAAGATCTCCGCTTGAGAAACGTCCGAGTCAGGCTCCTGGAAAGCAACGTAGTGTTAACAGTGGAGGACCGTAGCGTGAGCTTCTCATTGCCGTCTGCAAAAGTTATACCCAGCTCCCTGTCCACGTTGAGCATAGTCGACAACTGGATCTGCTTCCGTCTGCAGACCGCGCCGTCGGAATCCGCGTTCGGGTCTTTTAGCACGGAGGTGATAACCGACTTGAACAAGTCGGCTCGAGCGAGCACTTATTCGCGGACTATTTTAGATGATGTCAAATTATTGTTCGAGACGTCAAAATGTGCCATACTGTGCGCCTGTTGCAAAAGCGTCGTCTCGGAGTCGATCGGCTTCAAGAGGTTCCTGCCTCTACCCGATACAGAATACGACCCGGACGAGTGGTTTTGCTGCAAGCACAGCTGCGACGCCGCCCCGAGTAGCGTGCAGCCGCGGGAAACCGATTATCTGTACGGCTCTTGCTTCTCCGTGTTGCACAGGAGCGTCTTCGGGGACAACGTGCGCGTAGAGAACAAGACGCTGACTTGTAACAAATGCTTGCTGCACCTAGGAACGTTTCACGCGTACAGTTTGTTCAAGGTGTGGAACTGCTGCGTAGATTACAAGCCACAGAATGACGCGCTGTCTATTGTGAGGGCTACCGATCCGCTCAGCGACTTTCTGACACTCGTGAGAGACTCGCTGAGCGAGATCCTAGGGGAGGAGATTGTCCTGCAAACGTCCGTCGGCAAACAGGCTCATTGTCTCACGATAAAGCCGATGGACTGCAAATTAAATTTAATTACAGAGCCTGATGACAAAGCGGCCTGTGATACTGACACCGCGACTGTGTCCCTACAGCAGAAATGCGCTGCCAAAGTTTTATACAAGTACGAGACAAATAAAGTTACTATAGTTGCTAATTATCTGAATGTTAAATATCACGAAGTAGGTCTGGCTCTGATAGAAGCTGGATTAAAGTATTTGTTGTCGTCGACCAAACGACTGCCTCATATCTATAGGACCGCTGGTACAGACTACTTTCTCGGTTACATCGTCTTACAAGAAATCGCGAACTAAATACCGTCCAATGTTGACTTTTATTATATATATTTTGTATACCTGTTTTTATATGTAATAAAAAACTGTCTACCGCACGTATTTCTCTTAAATAAACGTGATAACTCATTAAAACAAATATTTAAATAATTCAAGAATTGTTTAAGATATCAAAAGGATTTAAGGGAAATGTTCAACTTCTCTGTTGCTAAGAAATATGGTAGGAATGTTTCATTCAAAGAGTACATTGTTCGAGGATCTCTCCAGTGTTTAAATAACATGTATTATTATTAGTAGCACTATCAGTACGTATCTTACAATATAATATTGTCCATCGTGATTAATTTATTTGAACATGAAACTCGATTCGAAAAATCAGTATGTGGAAAAATTCGTACTTACAATTACAAATCAGAATAAGGTATCAAGTATTATTGCTATATCGGTTTGTGCATAGGAAATGCATAAGTTTATTTTAGAAATCCATCGTTACGGAATGCGAGTCATTCCTTACACACTGGAAATTTATTTTTGCCAAATGAGAGATCTGGGATTGCGCAAAAATAATTAATTCCATAATTAGAATATCGCATTATTCACGACCAGTGACATCGTAAAACAACTTTTGTATATGACATGCAATCTCCGCACAATATCATAACAGATTTGCGTAAATTGTACATGTAATTTCATTCATGATAAGAAATTGCAACGTCAACAAATGTTACATATATAAAAGACTTGGCATACGTACATATACTTGAAATGTGGATATAATAGAAGCTTACGATATTGTGTGAAATTATCCCAAGAATAAAAAAAAAGAGAAGAGATACAATTTTACATCGTAAATATTCATTCGATTGTCGACAGAATATTTTTATTAAAACGAAACTTAAAACGTGATACGAAAGGTAAAATAGTGGATGTTACTGCATTACCTCTTTCCTAATTAAACTAAGAACTGGCATAAAAATATTCGCCGAAATCTTTCGAACGTGAAGGTGTGTCTTTTGAATTAAGCCTGATATTACAATTCTTACAGGCGGTAGGCCACGATTTCTCTTCTAGTATTGTGCTGCATCTAAAATTGTCACGTAATACGCATGTATAGTTAGGTAACATTCGTTTGATCGCTAGAACTGTGTAGTCTGTCTACAAGAGGTCTTATGTACACCCAGCCACCGTCTTTGGTTTCCTTAAAAAGCTGTTCAAGAAAGGAAAAAGAGCCGATTAGCGATAATTATGCAACAGACAGACGGGAGAGATCGAATAAAAAAAAACCGCCGTCCGCTTACTTTTGTCGGCCACGGTAAGTTATTTTCCTTGCGAAGCCGCGCTTCTTCTCGTTGTTTCTGCTCGATTGCGCATTTCGCCATGGTAGCTTTATCCATGTCGTTGATACGTAGGCCAACTGTCACGTCACGCCAAACCTTTCGCGATTCACTTTCGTCTTGCTCGCATACCGTTTTAACCAGTTTTCTTTCCGTGCTAAGTTCCCTGACGTCAGCGAACATCTCGCTCTTCTGTAAGAAAATAAGGATGTTACAATTGAAGAATGGCTCGCATTCCGTAATGATGGATTTCCAAAATAAGCTTGTGCATTTCCTATGCACGAAACCGACGATACTTTGATAATACCGACTTATAGTCTTCTTTTGTAATTGTAAGCATGAATTTTCCCCACACTCGTTTTCCAGATTAATTTTCTTCCGATAAATTAATCACGATAGACAAGATCGTTTAAGAAAATTCAGATTTTGCACGAATGATTATGCAACGTACATTAATATTCGTTATTTGCAGCTTATTATATAGGACACGCAAATATTCTAACTGCCATTGCAGCGTTTAATCTAATTAACGTTGTGTTAATTGAAGTCTAATGTTACAACTTACGCCATCAAACGTCTTCCATTCCATCGCCCCGCTCCACTCTCCGTTTATAACGAGAAACGGCTTTTTGTCTCCCGCTTGAAAGGCTTGGCATGTAATCCGATTCCGTTTACCGCCGTAGAAAGGTTTTGTTAAAAATTCTACCGTCGCGTGGTAGCCGGTTTGCACGCAATTTATCGTTACGGTGCCTCCTAGCTCTATCCACGGTACAGTGAGGATAGATCTGCCATAACCGTTAGGGAAAGTTAAAACGTATTCCTCCCCGTGTTGCAGCACATTTACCCAGCCCTTCCCCACATTGTGTACCCCTATACTTAAGCCCAAGAACTTGCTCTTCGTCCAAACGTGAGCTCCGAAACTGATCTTTTTCCCGACGTGCTCGGCATAAAATGCGCTAACTGCAATCAAACGGGGGTTAACGGTTAGACAAGCCGACCCGTGGGCGACTTTGCGAGATAAATTGCTGGACCGAACGGAGTATCTTCTCACCTGGCGGATGGTGAGAAACCTGCTCGGCGACAAAAGCGAGCTGATTCTCCTTACACCACGGTACAGGACCATCCGACACGAGACGGCTGCCGGAATCTGCGGCGCTATCAGACGGACTAACATTAGGTATGTTCCAATGACAGCGGAAAATTTCACCTAGTATAGGATTGTACGGCTTCTTAGCCACGCCGGACTTGCGTCCCGCGTGGAAGCTGCACAAGTACCAACGAATCACTTGCACCATCCTCTCGCGAGGTGTAGGCATGTCGGCAATGCTGGAAAATGCAGGAGGACGGTATTATTCCAGAAAGCAAAGAGCTCGTCACAGAGCAACGAGACAGACGCAAGACGATATCGAGCAGTCTTATTGAACTAGATAACTGCAAGTACCTTACAAATTGATCGGGATGAGCAAAGTAATCCGCATACATCTCAAGGAGTGACCTGCGCTCTAGAATAAACGTCGGTAGGGCGACCCTCGTCAGGTCCATCCCGATCTTCACTTGGGACAGAAGATGAGCCACGACTGAGCCGTGACTCTCCATGGAATCCACTGTGGACGACAAGAGCAAAGGGACGTCAATATTATTTCCTTACGATACCTTACGCTTGATAAACATACTACGTACTTTCGGTTTCGCTTTCTTCTTCGTAAAGAGCTGCAACAGATAAGAAGACGGCAATTTAAAGTGGCGGTACAAATATCTATGCGAAAAATGCGTTCTGGACGGCCGGACTCTAGCCCGTGGCTCCTATGCCGCGATAATACACAGCGCACAGAGGGGACAATCGGGGCAACAACTTAACCTGAATTTCCCATCGCATTTTATACCCGTGGCACGCAAAACTTACGACTTGAAGTTATGTCCAACATGTTGTCTGGCTAAAATAGACCAACTAGTATCCATTCCTAAGCTCCTTATTCCCAGGATCGAAAATTGTTTTCTGCTAACGCGAGGTACTTTGTCGGACACTTTGTTTCGTACGTAAACAGCAGAACGCAAAGTTCCACCGGGGCTCTCGTTCCTCACTCATCGTCGCGTCAATGAAGCATCGTCCCTCCTCTTCCGCTTGTTTGCCACTTTAAAAAGAGACACGGAGGCATCCGCGAGTGCGTCTCGGCGCGTCGCGCTCGCGAAACGTCAACTCGTACGTCAAAAAGTCTAGTGTCCACGATCGCGGGCGGATCAATAGCGGTTACGGTGGATAAAACAGACGGGGTATGCTAAACACAGCCTGCATTATCAACGAGCAGAATGCGTGTGTCGCGCGGGGAGGCACCGATTTCAACTTGAACTTGCCCGCCGTTTATCTTGCGAAGTAGATGCGCGCGAAACATTCCCTACGAATCCTCTACAGAATCACTGGGGCTCGATTCTTCAATTCATATTCGCGGAAAAGAAACGCACGCGAAAGTTCTGTGTCCGCGCAGAAAAGTTGAAAGTCGATTGCTTAAAAACCACGCGAACAACCAATCGACCCACAACTTTTCTGTACGAGCAGGGGGACAATTCTGTACCTTACAATACAGGGTGTCACATTTCAATCGGATCTCCCCTCGTAACTTTGCAGGGAGCGGTCGTAGAGAAAAATGTTTCAGGCAAAAGTTGCATGGCTTCAACGCGGACATAAGGTGGTGTCGTTAATTTGACCTTGAATAGTTGCTTGAAGGTCACGTAAAGGTCACTTTCAATTTTTTTAATGGAACCCCCTGTTGTTTATTATACTGTCTTATTCTACTAATTAATATGAACATCTTTTGCCCGAAACATTTTTTCATTTGCCTAATACGTTTTGAGATATTCAAGAGAAAATTTATAACTTTTTCAATGTTTAGCTTATGATATCTCGATAACTGTTTGTCGGAGGGAAAAGTAGTACAGGATTTTTTTACTTGATTTGGTCTCAGGAATATGCTGTTGCAATAGTGTTCCAATTATTGAAAATTTTTTTGTACCGTAGAATGTGACACCTTGTATAGTGAAAATGCTAAAAGTGAGCGACTTTGTCTCTTTCTAAGGGGACGGCTAGAAAGAGACAAAGTTATTCACTTTTAGTATCGTCACTATAGTGTAAGATACAGAATTGACACCCTGAATTTTCGCATACGTTTCTCCTTGGAACGAATTCAAGAATCGAGCCCCAGATATCTTCTTATCTCGCCACTTGAGCCTTTATGTAACGCACTCAAATGTATTCAACAAATTGCAGATTGATTAAGAGTCGCGCATAATTTGGTACGAGTAACTTTGTGCTCCTAGAGTGAACACTTACCTTCCATTCCCTGCCAACGACATGGGAACAAGAAATCGTACAGGCTTGTATCTTACACGAATTATTTCATAACGTGAAATCCGTTCATGCAGTTACGTGGGATTTTAAGTCTTTATCTAAACACATGGATCTCTAAGTTATTTAAAATCTTTTCGGTAAAAGATTTAATATACCTAAAACACTTCTAAAAAATAAAGGCTATTAGCGAAGGAAGTTTGAGAATGCAAAACTGTAGAGCCGCGGGACTGGCACATCAGTTGCCGGAACGTTCAAGTTGATACCGAATATAAAATACTTAATTTCAAATAGTTAAATCTACAAGTGCGTCAAATTGAAAACTAAAGATCTGAATGCCGATATGTTACTTTGACAAATATGACGATTGCTTAATTTCTACTAATAGGCAGCAAACGGGAAAAATAAAACTAGGTGACAGCACAGTGTCAAAATGAAAGTATCGACTCACCATCGTAATCGACTGATCCGTCGCCTTTGATAGGCGGCAGCGGCGGCTCTTTGCGTTTATCTCCCGTGGCGCTGTCCATAGACGAATGTAATCGCTCATTATCTGAATATCTAAAACAGAAACGTTTAACATATTTTATCGGGAGACCGTACAAATACGAGCTCCTCAATAAAACAAAAACTTCAATATGCCAAAGATCGCACGCATCGAGATACGGACGAAAGTGGTAACGGACTATTTTTAGAGATTGCTTTATACTTGCAGTGTAACATGATTCTGGACTGCCGGAGTCGGTATCTCGTCCGCGGCGTCGAAATAATCGTCGTCCTCGTCGGAGGACGAGTACGAGAACTGCGGTACCGGTAGATCTCTATCTACAACTGAAGATGCAAAGTGGCATCGGTCATTATTAAGCCCGAGACAGCTCGTTCAATTAATATGCAGCATGCAGAATAATTATCGCAGGCAGACATTAACCATTCGGTAACGTAGGTACTCGCGGTTCCACGCATTCGGAGCCTAACTCGATGCCGGTTTGCACCGTCGCCTCGGGCGCACTGGCTGCAACTGAAATTAAATTGTTAGAGTGGTTTCTCGCAGGCATAAAGGCGCACTTGCAATTATAAAGCTAGAAAAGAAGTGCAATGTTTCTCGATCAGGAGATCACGAATAATCTCTCCCTTCCCCCTTAATATTTTTGCGGTGCGCAAATCTTGAGACTTATCTGCCGATTTCGCAAAATATTGCTCTATTTTGTTTGCTCTCATTTTTATCTCATCGATCCGTGCCTCTCGGCGAGCCACGTGAATAGGTGTTTTTAGGACGTGACAGGGTCTTGTACCGATTGTAAAACCATGACCAGCCATAAACAATGATCCCGTAACCGAGAAACATCCTGTATCGGAAATCTCACCATGAGGAAGCGAGGGTGAGACGTGTATAGAATTCGATGGTCCTCTGTACACTCCGTTAACAGGTATCGCCGTATTCTGGAGACAACATTCAAACGCGTCACAATTATACCGAGACACTGGTGCGTGCAACAAAGCGACGCAAAAACTACCTTGGCAATTTGCAGCTGGACAATGGTATGCTTAACGGAATTCAGCATGGCGTTGGCGTGCGACAGGACGGCGGAAAACTTGTTCTGAGTCTCCTCGTCCTCGGCCGCGTTCCTTTTGTCCTCGATCAGTTTGATCTGCTCGATCAGAAGCTGAAGGTAAACGTCGGCCTCGGCTACCTTGCGATCGAAATCTTGCTTGGGCGGAGACTTCTTTGGGTCCCATCGCTGCGACAATCGTATCAAACTTCAGGACCTTACGACATTCTACTGTTCCTAACGTTATATGCCAAGGATATAATTGGTTTCGCGTGTATGACAAACGTACACTCGCGTACCGTGTGAGAGTGGCGGAGTATCGTGTCCTCCAATGCGCGGACCCAGCGTTCTCTCTCCTCGCCGTTGCGCGTCTGAAAGTGAAACGTCTTGGGGTCGTCCTTGCAGGAGTTGGTTGTTATGGTGAACGTGCTGTCGTCCTCGTCGTCGATGCCAATGATAGCGCCCCTCAGTCGCACGCAGCCGCGACGCGCGCCGCGCATCATCTTCTCCTTGCTCTGCGGCGGAGAAAAAACGGGAGATAAGGGAGGAAAGTCAGAGATAACCTAAAGGTCGCTCGCTCGGGGAGGGACTGCAGGGACCGCCGGAGCGCTCGGGGAACTAGAAGCGCCGTGCGTTTAACGTGTCGCGGGTGTCCTTACCGTGTAGTACGACAGGAGGCCCGCGTTGTCGTCCAAAACAAACCATCGATACTGCCACCCGTTGACGACGTTCGTCCACTTGCTGAGCGAGCCCTCCATCGTCGACATATCAGTCTACCGTCCTCGCCGCAGTCGCCGACCGGCCTGACGAGACTTCCTACCGACTCTCGCGTCTCTCGCAGCGCATATCGCGATGGAAATCACGGAGGCTCCGCGAGTAACGGAATATTATCACGTCAGCCTAATCTCGGGTACAAATCGTCGCATCCCCGCGACTCGCTCCGTTTACATGCCGCGCAGTGATTGTCAGACTGGTCGCGTTTTACGCGCATGCGCGGCGGTTCGAGGCTTAAGTCCCAGTCTACAATAGATGATTTAAGCCCTAAGCTTTAAGAAATTGGCCAATCACGGTCAAGTATGAGTAGAATGCGCGACTGTGATTAGTCAATTTCTTAAGGCTTAGGGCTTAAATCTCTATTGTAGACTGGGACTAAAGCCTCCGCTACAACTGATTCTCGGTTCTGTCTACAATGGTCGTAGTCGTAGTCGCTCGATAAGAATTGACCAATCGCAGTCGATTATTCTTACGACTACGACCATTGTAGACAGAACCGAGAATCATTGTAGCGGAGGCTTAAAGGTTTAAATCTTTATTGTAGATGGGCACTTAAGCCGTCTACTTTAATAAATTACTATCATTGCACCACTCAGCACTCAGAATTTCCAGTAATTTACTAAATCGCAAGCAATCCAGCAGGAAAAAGTCTGCAGCGGGCTTTAGATATGCATGTCTAAAGCCCGAATCAGACTACGGATTGAGATTGGGATTAAATTGAAATTTGACCAATCAGAATAAAAGTTACTGAACTAGAGATTAGTAAACTTTACTGTGATTAGTTAAATTTCAATTTAATCCCAATCCCAATCCGTAGTCTGATACGGGCTTAAGCCCCAGTCTACAATAGAGATTTAAACCTTAGTCCCAGTCTACAATAGATGATTTAAGCCCTAAGCTTTAAGAAATTGGCCAATCACGGTCAAGTATGAGTAGAATGCGCGACTGTGATTAGTCAATTTCTTAAGGCCTGTGTCCACGATGCTAGAACTTGGTTCAAGTTCCAGTTTCGAGAAATGTGTAGCCAATCGACTTGCAGCTTTTATGGAA